GGTGAGTAGAATCATTACCGTCAGGCTTTTCAGAGAAAAATGCAGTGTTTACATTACAGCCTAGTGATAACTTCACTGGCCACTCCTCAGATGGCTGTTAGAGATCCTTCCTGGGTCATGGCTGCCTAAAATGCACCCAAACATTCAGTGTCTCCACCCTCTGCACGCAGACACTGAACTTTCCTCATGAAGATTCATTGATTCAATTCATCTCTATGAGGAGATGCTGATTGGCCAGGGCTGTGTTTGAATCATGCTGGCTCTGCCCCTGATCTGCCTCCTTGTCAGTCTCAGCCAATCCTATGGGGAAGCACTGTGATTGGATCAGGCTACCACTTCTGCTTATGTCAGCAGACTGCTTGTTTTTTTTTTTTTTTAGGCAAACAGCATGCAGATCTACAGCTTCTGGCTTGAATACAGTAAGATGTTGCTATATTTATGGAGGCATGAGGGGCACAGGGGGGCTAGATGGTGATGTTAACACTATAGGGTCAGGAATACATGTTTGTGTTCCTGACCTTATAGCAGTGATGGCAGTGATGGCGAACCTTTCTGTGGGCACGCGGCCATAGGTTCGCCATCAATGCAGAGTAGGCACCTGCCTGCCCAAAACGGCAGGCGCCTACTCTGCTTCCGGGTCGGGAGGCAGGGGGAGGGATTTGTGAAGCAGCTCCCCTGTCCTCCCGCGAGCAATATGTGTGGAGCGTTGCCGCGCATTACCATGGCAACGCTCCACATAGCATCGTGCGGGAGGACAGGGGAGCTGCTTCACAGATCCCTCCCCCTGCCTCCCCACCTGGAAGCAGAACTTACTACCCGCCGGACCACCATGCATGGCTGTGTGTGTGTGTGTCCCTTCATTAAAGGTAAGCAGGAGTGAGGGGGGGATACAGATTTAGCATACTTTTTAACCACCCTCCCACACAGCACCCCTACCCCACACAGTACCCCCACCCACACAAGCAACACCCCACCCACAAGGAGCCCACACACAGACAGCAACCACTCCACACAGACAGCACCCCCACCCCCACACACACACAGAAACCCCACCCCACACACACACACAGAAACCCCAATTCCCACACACACACACAGAAACCCACCCACACACACACACACAGAAACCCCACCCACACACACACACGCACAGAAACCCACCCCCACACACACACAGAAACCCCACCCACACACACACACACACACACACAGAAACCCCACCCCCACACACACACACAGAAACCCCACCCCACACACACAGCCACACACACAGAAACCCTACCCCCACACACACACAGAAACCCCACCCACACACACACACAGCACCCTACCCCCCACAGCACACAGCAGCACCCCTTACCCCCCGCCCAGCACCCTGGGTACTCCTCCCCACACAGCACAGCACCCCTACCTCCCCACACAGCACAGCACCCCTCTAACACACAGCACAGCACCCCTCTCACACACAGCATCCCAACACATAGTACCCCTACCCCCCAACACACACACAGCACCCCTACCCCCAACACACACATCACTCATCCCCCAATACACACACAGCACTCCTACCCCAACACACACACTCCTACCCCCAGCACAGCATCCTTACCCCTGTCCAGCAACCCACACAGCACAGCACCCCACACACCCACACACACACACACACAACACCCCTCACCCCCAACACACACACACACACACACACAACACCCCTACCCCCCAACACACACACAGCACGGACTGTGTGTGTGTGTGTATTCAGCGGACTGGGTGTGTGTGTGTATTCAGCGGACTGGGTGTGTATTCAGCGGACAGGGTGTGTGTGTGTATTCAGCGGACTGGGTGTGTGTATTCAGCGGTGTGTGTGTGTGTATGTATTCAGCAGTCTGTGTGTGTGTGTATTCAGTAGTCTGTGTGTGTATGTATTTAGTAGTCTGTGTGTGTGTGTGTGTATGTATTTAGTAGTATGTGTGTGTGTGTGTGTGTATGTATTCAGCAGTGTGTGTGTGTGTGT